CCAAGATGTAGATATACTTATGCATAGATCTTAATGTGAGATTTATTGTTCCTCATAGAAGCTATAAAAAAGAATATTTTCCCTTCCCTAATCTCTTTAGCTGTAACCTAAGTCTCTCCTTGGATTAGAGGAAAGTTAATACAAAAAAAAATAGTTTATTTGTTAATAATATATTATCAACCATTAATTTGATATTTTTTAGCTATTTATTTTCTCAATTAAAATCTCATCATTTAACTATAATCTAAATAAGTCTCTCAAGTGATTCTTAGCATTGAGCAAAAATCTTGTATGCATATATAAGAGCAACTCATCGTAGACATGATTATCTTATGTGAAAAATCTGAATGGGCATAAGGATAAGTTGGTTGTCTTAGACTTATGTTTGCTGCATTTATAAATTTGAACCCTCATATTTGGGTTATAGAGTATCCATTCACAATAAAATCAAGTTACATGCACTCCAATTTGAGTTTACTTCATTCAAAGCTCTACTTTGAGGGGTTTGTTGCCCACAGTTCATCAAGTTTGCCAATGCATTCAAGCCCTAATTCTGTGAGAGTTTCAATATTTTATGAAAAGATTTAATATTTTACTGTAGGGTTTTGTAAAGAATGGTCAAAAGCAGAGATAAAATTGCATCAGGTCATATGAAGGATCCGGCATGGAAATATAGCACTCAAGTGGATGTGGGAGGCAGCAACAAATCATACATATATTTGAAATGTAATTACTGTGACAAAGTAGTAAAAGGTGGTGTAACTAGGATGAAGGAGCACCTTTCTGGGTCTCACAAGAATGTTGCACCATACGCTAAAGTGTCTGATATAGTTAGAGAGAAGAAAAAACATATATAAATAAGTTTGTCATATCAAAGCATCTTGCACAAAAGCAATTTGAAGGACATAGTTGATGTTGGCTCCTATTATAGAAGTGAGCATTGCAGTCACGATTCATCTTCTTCATTGCAACCCATATTATATAGGGGTACAATCAAAACATAGTGTAAACATCAGAGGATAGGCCTCCTACTGCACAAAGGATGACCCCAAAGAATGCCAGGGAGGCACATAAAAGAGTATGTATGTATATAAGCAGATTCTTTAACGAAAATGCAATCTTATTTAATGTTGCAACTTGCAACATCACCTGCTTACTAGAACATGATTCGGTCAATTGGAGCATATGGGAGAGGGGTTCAAACCTCCATCAATATATGATTTAAGAACATGAATTTTGAAGGAGCTAGGTAATACTGAAAAAAAAAAAAAAAAAAAAACATTGAGAAAATTAAGAGCACTTGGGCCCAAATAAGTGTAACTATTATGTCAAATGGTTGGTCAGATGTGAAAAAGAGAAGTTTAATAAATATTCTGATCAATAATCCTTACGATGCTATCTTTTTGAAATCAATTAAGGCATCTGATCAGCTTAAGAATGTTGAGTTCACATTTGCATTACTAGACAGAGCTGTTGAGGAGGTTGGAGAGCATTTGGTAGTTCAATTGGTAACAGATAATAATAGTGCTTACAAGGCTACAGACACTAAACCTATGAAGAAGAGGAAACATTTATATTGGATTCCATCATTCCATGTACCGCATATTGCATAGATCTCATTCTAGAGAAGCTTTGGGAATTGCCTCAACACAAAAATGCACTGACCAAAACAAAGAAGATAACTAAATTTATTTACAACTATTCTTGAGTTTTGACACTTATGAGGAAATTTTCAAAGATAGAAATTCTTAGGCCTGCAAGAATAAGATTTTTCACCGCTTACTTGATATTATAGAGTATGTTGGATGCTAGGAAACCTTTGGAGTTTGTGTTTATCTCTACACAGTTGTTTAGTTGTGAATGAACAAAAAAATCTGAGGGGAAAGAGGTTAGAAAGACTGTTTTAAATAACAGATTTTGACAAAGTATCTTGTACACAATCACAAACACTCGACATTAGTAAAAGTTTTGAGAATGATGGATGCAGAGAAAAAGCTTGTTATAAGTTTCATATGCAATGCTATGGATGAAGCAAAAGAAATAATTGTCCACAACTTCGAGGACAAAAAGGAAAGTTATAAGGAAATTTGGAATATTATTGATGATAGGTGGGAGCTATAACTTCATTGAAACTTGCATGCAGTAAGCTATTATTTAAACCCGCAAAATCAATATGCAAAAAATAAGTCTACGAATTCTGAGATAAAATTAGGATTGTATCATTGCATGGATAGACTCATAACTAATGCAACTGAAAGATCAAATGTTGACATGCACTTGATACCTTTGGGAATAAAGAAAGTTTTTTAGAACACTATTTCCAAATGATTTTCATGTAATTTTATTTGTTGTTTTACTCATTTATTTAAAAATTGTTCTTTGAGTATTAACTATATTCATTTATGTAAATCTTAATAGAGTGGCGGATTCAATTTGGTGATGGCACTCCATAATTGCAATGTTTCGCTACGAAAGTTTTGGGATTATTTGGATGTGAATGGAATTGGAGCACGTACAACCAAGTGCATACAAAGAGGAGAAATCGTTTGTCAATATTGAGGATGAATTCGTTAGTATATATTATCTACAATAAGAGACTCAAAGACAGGAACTTGAAGAAAAAAATGTTAAAGGATGATTGGGAATCCTCCATTAATCACTTGAACCTAGCTAAATGCCTAAACCTCATCTCATAATGCATTTGTAGAGAATATGGAACAAAGAGAAAACATTAGGCTAGAAGCACCAATGCTAAACCCATTTTTTCAACCCAAAATGGTGATATTATCTATCAAAACCAATAAATAATATAAATAAATAATATATATCGAGATATGCCATCATGTTATTTAATTATATGAAGTTCAACTAAACCCAAAACTCTCATGTGCCTTAACATCTCATTTTTTCAACTATTTAACAAGTATGGTCAACAAACACAATCATAGAACTACATTCTCCATAAAATAAAGTTAACTTCTTATTGATATGATTATGCACATGAATTGCATATTTTGCACATAACTTTCAAGCCTAGAGTTAAATGATTATGATATGCGCATGACTCAAGATCCAATCAATCAAGAGGCACAAAAGTTAAATAAGGCGTGGTAATACTAACTTCATGGTTTAGAAAAAAATTGCGTGCATGAAGGAGATTACAACCAATGACAACTATTAATGGCTACAAAGATCCTTACAAAAAAGACCTTACACTCAAAGAATCAATTTGAATTTTTATGATGTTTCATTTTCCCATGTTAATTACGTCAAAACTACCACACTGTTATTACTAAGAATAACAACTATATTACATTTTTTTAATCAGATGGATGAGGGAAAATAAATCAAATATCTATACAAATATTATTTAAATCTATAAAGTTGTACTAAACCCAACTCTCTCATGTGCCTTACAGTATTTTATATTTTCAACTATTGAGCAAGCATGGTCAACGAAAAAAGCATATTCAAATCAAAACTATATCCTCTGTAAAATAAAGAACAACATGTTCACACGATTATCATAAAATGGATGTGATAGACATCAGCTTCAATCATACAATTATATATAATGATGAATATTTCAATACATAATCAATCAATAAACAGTAATGTATTAAATATTTTCAATGACCTACCCAAATAACCCATAGAGCATGGGACATACGTCAAATCTAAGCAATATTAAAGTCCAATGAAAATATGGCAATCCTAACTTCATGGTTAATTTAAAATATGTTAAGGAGATCACACTCATTAAAAACTATTACTATCAATAGAAATCCTAACTAAAATATGAGATGCCAAATTTGGGAATCAATTTGGTTTGCCTGTCATGTTTCATTTTTGCCTTGTCATTTATATCAAGTTTACACACTAACAAGTAATTAGAATCACAACTATGTTATCTTTTGTAATCAGATTAATTATAGTCCTGAAAAAAAGTAAAATGTTTTCCTTCGTATCAATGTCAGCTTTTCTCTATTTAGATTGGATTCAATGGTGAGCCAAGTTCGACTCGCTGTCTCAAAAGGAATGCAAGGTTGAACCTCTTTCACCCAAAAACATGTGCAGCTCGGCAGTTTCCAACTCTATGCAGAAAGATTCATAGTTCCATTAAAAAAAATATGCAATGAAACATTGCTCTATGTCGATTGGATTCAGTATTGAGTTAACGTTGACGGCCCTTTATCTCATGAAAAATACAAGGTTAGCTCCCCTAGACCAAAAGATAAGCTGAAATAAGCAGTTTCCAGCTCTTTGAAAGAAGGTTTATAGAACACTGAATAAAAATCCCATGCATCGCTAAAAAGCTTCAACAATCACTTCAAAGAGCTCATGGCAACACACAAATAAAAAGGCGGGCCAAGGAACTGGCCTAAGAACATGAAGAACTAATATGGAAGCCTATTGTCAATGCTCATAGCCTTGTTACTAGTTTATCATTTTAAACAACATAAAAGCAATTCAACAGATCAGGCCCAACCATATAGTAAGCTATTCAGTTAAGCATACAAGAATAATTACAAGTGTGAAAGAACTACTGCTCGGGAATTTCAGGAAAATGCTGTAAGGACAAAAAGAAGACCAAAAACTTTCCTGGATAGTAAATACCAATAAACAAAGCTCACAGTAACGGTTCGATTCCAGTCGGGGAAGTATAACTAAATACATGCTAAGCTGCTTAAAAAAAAAATTCCTGCAATGATTTTTAACCTGGAAATTTCCCAAAAAAAATTGGAAAATTTGCCAGATATCTATGGAAAACTATAACAGTTCTTTTCTTTCAACTCAATCAAGAAGAGAAAACATGATTTTAATGTTCATCCGTTCTTAAAACTTTCAACCAAGAGAAAAACGACGTGCATCATTTCTTCTCTTCTTTTTTGTTTTCTCTCCAACCAATTACAGAGATAAGGCCCAACTGATGCGCAGGTTACTGTTAAGAACTTTTGAGATATTCAACAACAACAGAAGATTCTGATTCAAAAGATAACCTGAGGGACGACTCATATAGCGACCATGAGACCTTTCTTCGTACCCGCCTCTTACACCTCGATCGTAACCTCCATAATCATATCCATACCTGCAAATGTCGACGCAATAATAAGATAAAAGTCCTTCTTCGTCATAATCGAAGTCAATTTGCAATCAGAAATCGACCTAGGGCTTCCTCTCCTCCGCTCATAACCACCGTCGTCCCTCCGAGAGCGCTTGAAACCGCCAGGCGGCGGGGAGCGCCGTGGTGGAGAGTGACGGCGCTCGCGGTAAGGAGGCGGGCTCAGGCTGCTCCGACGACGGTATTCCCTATCCCTCGATGCAAGGGGCGGCGGCGGAGAGCGGTTCCTCGAGTCGTAGTAGTCGTCCCTCCGTTCCCTAGAATCCCTTTCCCTGCGCCGCGGGGGAGGAGGAGGAGGAGGGAGTGGAGAGCCGTCAGCAGGGGAAGGCTGCCTCTCCGGGCGATCTAGGGCATCCTGCGCGTCCATTACCTCCGCCATGGGAGAGTAGGAGATAGCTGTCGGATCTGAGAAACCCTAGGAGACGAAGCAGAAACTTTTTTGTTTCGTGTATATATATTTTTAACCAACTTCGCTTATTATTTTAGGTAACCTTTAATTTTTCTCTATTTACGTTTTTAATAACACCTATATTTTTTCTGCTTGCTCCTATATTATTCAATTTTTAAATAAGGCCAAAAAATATATAAATCTCTCATCATCCATTAAGCATGCATACATCGCTCAATGTCACACCTTAGGAGTAAGTGGTTGTGGGCAGAGTATGAACCAGTAACTACATGTGAAAAGGAAAGAGACACTTGCATGTTCATATGTAGGGATGTCTAAATGAGAAGAAAATTCAACCTCATATCCGACATGTCGGGTTACCGGGTTGACCCAATCTGCAAGCATGGTATGTTCATTACGGTGAAGAGTGCGGACTACGAAACGGTGAGGGATCGAGTTTGAGTGATGGATCGTGAATTGCGAGTTAGGATGCGAGGAGAGTGTGATACGGGTTTGAGTGTAGAATGCATAGTCTGAACGCAAGGCAAGCATGGGATCACACTGTGCAGACGAGGCAAGCACGAGATCGCGGATTGTGGAGTTCAAACGCAATGAGAGTGTGATGAGGGTTGTGGAGTGCACTTTTGAATTATAAAAATATTTAAGGCTATCTCCCCTAAACAATGCTTAAGTTTTATTTAATATATAAAAAAATAACAAATCTCACTTAATATATGTGAGTATATGTGTCGAATCAATTAATAAAGTAATTGAGTAGAGTGTTAAACACATGAGGATGTATACTCTCTACCAATCAACTATTATTGTTTACTCTGATTATAAAATTATCCTACTAAAATAAAAGTATTAGTTGTGATAATTCAATCACTGAATAAAAACAGTAAAAATAATGTATACAATATTTAAATAAAGTGTTTTGGGTTGATAAATGTAAATTTCATTTTTTTTTTCTAATGAAATTCTTATTTATAATGTGATTTAAAGTATATGCTTCCTTAATTATTTATCAAGCATATATGAATGAAAAGGATATATGATGATCTCCTACAGTTATATCATCTCCTTAAAAATCTAGCATATTTTACATCAAATGTCTAGGTATGCAAACATATTATTTCAATATTCATATTTGTTCTTACACTCCTCTTGTCAAGGATATACATCACATTAGGTTTTAGTTACACATATGATCAATATGTGCATTAAATAAATAGCAAAAAATATATATTTAAATGTCATTTAACTTTATAACCAAAGAATCTTCATTACGACTTAATATGTTTTCTACATCATCAATTCAAAACTAGAGAATTAGTCGGATATTGAAGGAAAGATAAGCAAACTCATCTTCATTGAAAATCATGGAAGAATAAAAAAATACAAGAGTGTTATATCACAAGGAAGGGTCAATGCATATCTCTGCACTCTTTTTTCTTAATATACATAGCTGCTCAAGGGGTGTCAATTCGGGTCAACCCGTCGGGTTCGGGTCGAACCCGACCTTTCCTCCGTTGTTGTTTGTTGAGGAGAGATCAGAACTCGAGCACATGATTTATAGTCCTCATATTCAGAAAAGAAAAAAAGATGAAAAAGAATAGGTCGCCATTTACTTAAAGCTATTGATGCAAGTATTATGCAGGATAAATAAAGGCATATACCCAAGGGTCAAAAACTAGTCAATACTTCATTTCATATGGACGGTGTCAATTTGAAGGCTAAGGGCATTTGAAGCTTTCAGCAGCTTACCAAAGCAGTATGACGTGGTAAGCTATAAATTAGCTTACCATGGTTGGTTAGAACAATAAAAGTTGTGAAGAAAATACCGGTTGGACATATATAGGAAGCAAGAAAGCACAAACAATAAAATATAAAAGAAGTTACCGCAATAAACTTAGCATTTGTTGGTTAGCTTTTTAAAGTGAAAAATCAACAAAAATTGAGGAAAAGGGGCTTTTTTGCCAGCCTGCAAACTTTCCACTTGATGCAATGAAAAACGAGGTTCTGGGAAATGGAAATCTACGAAGATAAGGAATTGTTATTGACAGTAGTATGCATAAGTAGTTAGGAAAATAGAGATAAATAAAGGAGAATATTGCAAATTAGACATAAAACAAACAAGTTTCACTACAGCAGAAATAAAGTTCTCAGAACATTATGCTGAACTATCTTTTTTATGAGATACAAGTTGTCTGAAAATGGGCACATCAAAGCTATGCATAGAAAGAAAAGAAGTTCTCAAATTAAAATAAACACCTCATGCAACACTCAAAAGAAATGATTGGAGAGAACAAAAACTCATAAGCAGACCAATATTGAACAAGCTCATGGTTATGACTTCTTTGATAAGCAATACATAAAAATGTCACAATATGGCACTAATTAAATTTCATTCTTGCAAGTAAAAGAACATGCTGATAGCTTGCTTTCCAAAAATTTCATTTTAATAATAGTTTTAGATTTAGAACCCTGTCCTCCAAACTGATTGCCAACTCTTCTTGGAAGTATTTAACCCAAATCCGAAATTAATCAAAAGGCATGCTCGAAACTATTTGTTCACGAATTCATCTCCCAACTGAAACAGGGATTAGAAATTTAAAAATAAATGAAATGGCGCTAAGTTAACAGAAAAGCTCGGACTGCCATTGGATTTAGGAACCCAGACCTTACCAAACTTACCATTCAAGACAGTTTAGTTCAAAGCACGCAGCTGCAATACGAACCATGCTTTCATCATGAAAAGTCAAACTCACAGTTTACATAGAGTGAAAGAAAACACTTCACCTTCAAGAATGAAAGACAAGTTAAATTAGAAAATGCAGATTAAACTAATATAAGTGGAATGAAAACTGAGGAGAAAAAAAGCAAGATGTTCAATTAAACAGCAAACAATCTTCTTATGTGATAGGGAAAAGACAGAAAAATTCAAGCTTCAATGCTATACATAATTTAAAAAAAACCAAAAGCATTCCCAGAATGATGAAATTTCCTTTGGGACAATTTATTCCAGAAAGAAAAAAAAAAATTATTAGCCCGCCATTCTTATGATATATAATATAAGAAGAGAATTGAAAATACTGCAACTGATTTTCTATAGCAACAGCTAAGTTTGCATTGCATAAAACCAGGTCCCCAAACCCTCCTTCGGTGAGACCCCGTGCTTTGATATGGCCTTTTAATTAATAAGAATATAAGGGACTCCATATGGAGCGCAGTTATAAAAGTAAGAGACTCCTTTTGATGGAAAAAGTTTGTAATGATCTGTGGAAATGTGATGACTTGCCCTGTTAATATTTCCGAAATGATAAAAGAGAAACGAGGCTTAACTGAAAATCTTCTAAATCAGAAGAAAAGATGAGTAAACCAAAGAACTCTGAGGGCTGATAGAGAGAAGGAAAAGGATGAATGAAGAGAGAGAAAGGAGAATTGACCACTAATGGAAGGGATTGGAGCCAGCTTGCTTGCATACTTAAGTATCAGATATTGAATTCTCTTACTAGAAATTTCCATTTATAAACAGAATTTAAATTCAAGTAAGAAATCTAAAGGCAATCAAAGGAAATAATATAGTTACCACAAAAAATTATTTTTATGAAGAATTCTTTTAATAAGTAATTCTTTGAATAATTAATCTAAGATTGTAGAGTATTCAGTGGAATTCAGATCCGAGTCTTAAGACATGTCTAAACAAGGGCAAAATTATTGCATCGGTCACCGGACGCGGAGATAGGTCCGGATATTAATAAAAATTATTTTAAAAATTAAGCGCGTTCAAAAGCGCAGGTAAAGCACATTAAAGCGCAGTCCAAACGGGGCCCCAATTTTTTTTTTTTCAAAAGCGCAGTAAACGCACCTAAAAGCCATCAAAAACGCATTTATGACGTGGCATTGTTTTTATTGGATGTCCAAACATTATGCGCATCCGGTACCGGATGCAATATTTGCCCTAAACCAAGGCTGGGTGATGATATATATTATTTTGAAAATAATCAATATCACTCAGGGTACTAGAACCTTCCTCTCAAAAGAGTTGATGAAATTTTAATAGCCCATATATATTTAAAAGAAAGGTATTGAAGATTATGCTTCCAAAAACCATTCAACTATCAAAGAATCAATTGATTTTGACTGCATGTCACTAAAGAAGATTGATGAATCATAATGCCAACACAAAGTAATTGAGATAAATGCTAATTTTGATGATGTGATAATGCCCTGCAAAATTCTATAAAGAAATTGATTTTTAATTTTTTGTTGAAGGAAAGGTGTATTGCCATTTGTAGATGACATAGATTACTAAGGTGAAAAAAAAAATATTCATAAATTTAGAAACAATTAAACTTAAATGAATTACGGCTATAGGTTACAAGATATCTAAATAGTAATGGTATGCAAAAATAATAAATTATCAATCCAATTATACAAGAAAGATCCCAATGATATCCAAGTGTAATTTTAAAAATTTCCAGTATCACTGAATTGTGATATATTACAACATAAACCTAAATAACATATTTATAGGAATAAACTTTTCAATTAATTAAACCCTCAGTATCATTATGAAAAGATGTTTACCTAGGGAGCCATAATATAATATGGATTTCACAATTATACTTAGATGTAAGAAATTTTATAAATAATGTAATTCCCATAGATATATTTACATATATCATTTTCAAGCTTAAGCAACAAAGAAAGAAGCCTTTTTGATACCCACATTAAACAAGCCAGAAATGAGAAGTTCCAAAGAGAAAAAAAGAAAAAACTATAAAAGGTTGTTTTAAAAGCTATTTGTTTTTTAAAATTATTAGGAGAGGGGGAGAATGAGAATGAGTGAGAAACAATGCTTAAATTTTTATTACAAAAATTATCCCTATTTATAGAATCTACACCAAGACCTATCTTAATTAAAAAATAAATAATAACTACTAAACATGCTAATTGCCCTAATATAATTCCTTCCGAAAGATAGCCACCCAAATATGAAAGGAGATCGCATTATCCAGGTGAGCCTCCCATGGATCCACATCCTGTCTATAGGAGATCTAGAGGT